AGGAGCCTGACGTGGCAGCGGTCCGACCAAGCTACCACGTCAAAGGAGACACCCCTTGCCAAGAAGCGGGAGCTCGGCGCCTTCTCCGAGGAAGACGATGCCGACCTAGGGAACGGCCCCCGGAAGTACCATCGATGTTCGTTCATATTCGGGGGACCCCAGGGAGGCGACACCTCTGGAGAGCGGAAGCAGTGGGCCCGAGCCCTATACGTCGGGGAGATAACCAGGGCTCCCGCCGACAAGAGGGTGAAGAGGGACCCCATCTTCTTCACCGACGCAGATTTGCCACCGATGCCTCCGCCGCACAGGGATGCCTTGGTCATCAAGGTCGAAATCAACAACACGATCGTCCACCGAGTCCTGGTGGACAATGGGAGCTCCGTTAACATCATGTACTATGACACCTTCCAAGGTCTCGGGCTGGACCGAAAAGACTTGATCCCGGTGAGAACCCCACTCTCGGGCTTCACCGGGGACTCCATTGAGTCGGAGGGCAGCATAGTCCTCCCCGTGATGGTGGGCTCCGAGCCCTGCGTATCCAAGTTAGACGTCGAGTTTATCGTCGTACACCTAACTTGTGCGCATAAGATCATCATGGGAAGGCCGGCCCGGGAAGACCTCAGATGTGTGATATCCCAGGAGTACCTATGCATGAAGTTTCCCACTCCGAATGGCGTCGGAGTCGCCAGGGGAGATCAGCGAATGGCGAGGAGCTGCTATCTGAAAGCTTGCAAACAAATCGGTCAAAAAGACTTGAGGGTCCACACTATCAATAGCTAAGCCATGAAGTATGAGGAGGGTCAGCTCCGCGCTGAACCCACCTCAGAAGTGGAGGAGATCCAGATTGACCCCGAGAGGCCGGAGCGGAAGATCAAGATCGGGACCGGGCTCCCGGTCGGCTTGAGGGAGAAGATTATCCAGGTACTTGTCCTTTTCAGCGTTGTCTTCGCGTGGGGACCGGAGGACATGCCTGGCCTTGACCGAAGCATCGCTGTCCATCGGCTGGCGGTCAATCCAACGGCGAAGCCCATCCAGCAGAAAAGAAGACACCTCTCAACCGAGAGGAGGGAATTCGTGAAGAAGGAGGTCAATATGCTCCTGAGTATCAAGCATATCCGGGAGGTCTTGTACCCGGTCTGGCTGGCAAACGTGGTCCTGGCCCCAAAGCCGCCAACCTGGAGGATGTGTGTTGATTACACCGATCTCAACAAGGCATGTCCGATGGATCCATTCCCATTGCCTAACATCGACCAACTAGTCGATGGGACGGCCGGATGTGAGCTCCTTAGCTTCATGGACGCTTTTCGAGGATACCATCAGATTTTCATGCATGAAGAAGATGCGGAGAAGACCTCATTCGTCACCCCAGAGGGGATTTTTTGTTATCTTGTCATGGCCTTCGGGCTGAAGAACTCTGGGGCGACGTACACGAGGATGGTGGTCAAGGTATTCCGGAAGGTGCTCGGAAGGAACATGGAGGCGTATGTTGATGACATGATCGTCAAGAGCACCCGGGCATCCGATCATGCAGATGATTTGGCAGAGATCTTCGGGATCATGAAGGCAGTCCGTCTGCGCCTGAACCCGAAGAAATGTACCTTTGCCGTCCAAGGAGGCAAGTTCCTGGGGTACATGGTCACACGGAGGGGGATTGAGCCAAATCCTGAGAAGGTAAGGGCAATACTTGACATGGAACCCCCGAGGTCGGTGAAAGAAGTCCAGATTCTCACCGGCCGGCTAGCAGCCCTTGGACGTTTCATGTCCAAGTCCGCCGAGAAGTCCCTACCCTTCTTCCAAGTCCTAAAGAAACAAAATGGTTTCGTCTGGAATGATGAGTGTCAGCGAGCCTTCGACGACTTGAAGAAGTACCTCCTCTCTGAGACTTTACTCAGCAAGCCGGAGAGGGGGGAGACGTTAATCCTTTATCTTGGGGTTTCCCAAGGTGCAATCAGTTCCGTGCTGGTTCGCGAGGAGGAAGGCGTTCAGCGTCCCGTCTACTATGTGAGCAAGACCCTCCAGAATGCTGAGCTCCGGTACACCCCGCTCGAGAAGACAATATATGCTGCCTACATCACCGCCAAGAAGTTGACACACTACTTCCAAGCACACCCGATCAGAATCCTGTTGGACCAACCCCTAGGTGACGCTCTGAGGGTGCCCCGACACAACCCGGGTAGTGAAGTGGTCGATGCTCCTCAACCAATACGAGGTTGACTTCTAGCCTCGGACGTCCATCAAAGGCCAGGCTCTGGCTGATTTCATTGTGGAATGCACGGCCCGAGAAGTGGCAGATAGGCAACATGAGAGCAATGAACAATGGTGGACTCTAGCGACTGATGGGTCGGCAGGAGCCAAGGGATGCGGGGGCGGAATCGTCCTCATCTCACCCGAGGGATTCCGAGCCTACTATGCCTACCGCTATCTTTTCAAAGTCTCCAACAATGAGGTGGAGTACGAGGCCCTACTATCTGGGCTACGATTGGCGGCCGCCATGGGAGCAGAGTGGATAACGGTGAAATGTGACTCCCGTCTGGTGGTTTCACAGGTCAAAGGTGAGTTCGAAGCGAAGGAAGAAAGAATGATGAAGTATCGAGATGTTGTTCGGGAGTTGCTCGGGTTATTCAAGCAAGCAGAGTTGATCTGCATCCCGAGAAATCAAAACTCCGATGCAGACCTCCTCTCAAAGCTATCCCAAGGGTTACCTGAACATATATCGAGAATTGCACGCATTGAGGAGATGACGACCTCAAGCATATCAGCCTCACCGTCCATTGACGTCCTTCCCCTGCAACCAGTCGCCTGGTGTTGGGTGGATGACCTCCTGCGCTACATAGCCGATGGGACGCTCCCCGAGAGAGAAGAGGAGGCAAGGTTAGTCCGGCGACGAGCTCCGGGCTACGTCGTCTTGGATGGGAAGTTGTACAAGAGGTCCTACAATGGGACCTTGCTAAAGTGTTTACGCCCACATGAGGCGGAAATGATCGTCTCTGAACTCCATGGGGGCGTATGCTCCGCCCATCAGGGGGCAGGCACGTTAGCTAGGAAGGTTGTCCTCCAGGGGTACTTTTGGCCAACAATAATGAAGGATTGCGCTGACTATGCAAGGAGATGCAAGACATGCCAGAAATTCCAGAAGAGCCCTGGCCGACCAGCAACGATGTACACACCGATCAGCACCGCCCTTCCATTCACAAGATGGGGTGTCGACTTGGTCGGTCCCTTACCAACCGGGTCGGGAAAACGGAAGTTTGTCATCGTCGCGGTGGACTACTTTACGAAGTGGGTTGAGGCCGAGCCACTTGCCAGCATCACACATCTCCAATGTAAGAAGTTCATATGGAAGAATATTTTCTGCCGGTTTGGGGTTCCCCTCCAAATAATCTCCGACAACGGAAGGCAGTTTGACTGCGAAGCCTTCCGGCAATTCTGTGCAGAGTGGGGAGTAGAATCCAGCCGAGTTGCGGTCTGCTACCCCCAGGCAAATGGACAGGTGGAGAACACCAACCAGACGATCGTTGATGGACTGCAAAAGAAGTTGGAGGCCCTCGGGACTGCTTGGGTGGAGGAGTTGAACAATATACTCTGGACCTTCAGAACAACCCCAAGGAAGGCAACAGGAGAGACCCCCTTTGCCTTGTGTTATGGCTTTGAGGCGAGGGCACCGTTCGAGGCCGTAGTTTCCAGTCGGCAAGTAGAAGAGTTTGAACCAGCCAGCAATGAGGAGAGGCTCCGAGCCGAGCTCCACCTCATTGAGGAAAGAAGAGACCGTGCCTTCATCAAAGCGGAAAACTATCGACGACAAGTCAAGGCGTACCAAGACAGCCGAGCCCGACCCCGGAGTTTTGACGTCGGTGATTATGTCCTAAGACGTAGGAAGGCCAGCAGGCCGACAGAGGGAGGTAAGCTCTCCGTCAAGTGGGAAGGCCCTTACGTGGTTGACGCAGTGATCGGCCCTGGGACATACAAGTTGAAGACAACAACAGGCCGGTTGGTAGACCGCGTCTGGAATGCCGAGCACCTGATGAAGTTTTACCAGTAGAAAATCGAAGTTTCACTTTTCTTTGTAAACTCCTGTGCTCCGAGCACGGGATTACAATTTGTAATTCTTCATGTGGTCCGCCCACATCATGAATTCAATATACTTTGCTAGCGATATTTTGTCATCAAAAGAGGTCCGACCTCACTTAGCAATAAAGGGCGGCGCCAAAAAAAAAAGGTACTATGCCCCCCCTCGGTGTTTGGCCGACCTCGGCCAGGCTCTTTAACCGAAAATAGCCAAGCGATTTTCAAGAATCTGGGCAATTTTCTAAAGTAAAGAGCTAGCCGCGACAGTCGAGGCGACGGTAGGGCCGGCCTCCGGGTCGAGGGTACTCAGGATGCTGACCTCCGGGTCCTTTCGAGTGCTCGCCGCCTAACATCGCTGGCCAAGCAGCTCGCACTCTCGTCATCCCTGAGTTGGCGGTGCGGGTTCGTTCTGGTGGATCATGCAGGGTCCGCCCCTGTTGTTTGGCTATCCATGCGGGAGTAACCAGATAATTCCCCAAGTCCGGGCAAACTGGACGGGTTAAAGTGACAGTAGGACTGACCCCCGGGTCATGAACGTTCAGGATACCGACCTAAGGGTCTTCCTCGTCGGTTCAATGTCCGACCTTGCTGGCCAAACAAGTCGCTTACTTGTTGATTCCATATCAATAGCGAACAGATCACTTCTACCCAACTAGGAGGGGCACGGATAGGCTCGGCCACGCCAGCCTAACCGCCCCCCGGGAGGTTAGAGAAGCCAGATCCCCGAATAAATTGCTAAGTATTCGTAATGCAAAGTATAGAAAAGGAGGCGTATGAAATAAAAATCAAACATCCACGAAGTATTCAAGTGGGAAACAAAGGAAATACAAAATACAATGTCACGGCTGGACAGACCCATCGCCATCAACCTCGAGAATGTCATCTAACACACCAACCAAGTCCTGGCCAGGGGCCACAGGAGTCATGTTCCCCGGAGCTGGCGGAAAGAACCAAGCCCATTCGTTAGAACTACCAAGCTCCTCCTCCTGACGGACGGCCTCTGGGGGAAGAAGGGCTATCGCCTCCACGGGTTTCTTCATGCGGCCGGGAAGGCCGAGTGTGGATGGATGAAAGTCAGGGTCTAGATCCTTCAACCGGCCATACACCTTCTGCTGCATCAAATACTTGCCACTCTGAAAAGCATAGAGGACTTCGCGAGCGCGCCAATACTCTCCGTCGAGGGTCGTCAGCCACCTCTGCACCAGTTCAGACTCTTCCGCTTGCACCCTCGCAGAGACGAGCTTCTGGAACTGCTCGGAGGCCTGGAACTCGGAGAGCGCTTTCTTGGCTCCTTGTTTGGCCGCTTCTTCACATTCTTTTGCACGCGAGGACTGCAACTCGGAGAAGGCTTTCTGGCTGGCCCACAGGGCAGCCCTAGCCTCGTCAGCCTCACGCTGAAGCCTGGCCTGAGAATGATTGGCTGCGTGAAGTGCCCTGATGGTCTTGGAGAGCCCCTGCAAGATAGACAAACGAAAATGTGAGGGGGTTCAGGGATAAACACAATCCACACCAAAACGTGATCAACCTACCTCGATATGTGCCCGCCTTGGTCGCCCAGGGGAAGGGCAATGCCATCCAGCAGTGGGACGGCCGCCGGCTTCCTAAGCAAAGTCTACCGGCAGAGTGGCGGCCGCCGGTCCGATCCCCAACCAACATTGCTCGGCCTAGCTCCATGGGGAACCGCACATATGGGCATTAGCTTGCCTCAGCCCTAGTTCCTTCGAGGCCCGACAGCAGCCGGCCAAGAAAGGGACGGTGCCGCCCAACTTGGACTCGAGGAACCACCTGGCCGCTCGGCTTCCTACGCAACGATGGTTGGCAGCGGATGAACAACATGGACGCCCGTGAGAAGGACAAATCCATCCGGCCCGAGGGCGCTTGGTCACTCAGCCGTCTAGCCGCCAACCTCTTGGGCGACACCGTCCGACAATGGGGTGGCCGCTGATCCCTATAGCGTGCGCCGGCCACCACAGGAGCCCAGGCCCGCCAGCCAGATTCACCGGGCTGCAGGGGCAACATCGGCGACCGTTGGGTGGCACAAGACAGCCCGCCAATACCTGTAAATTGCGCCGACCAAGGTCCAGGCCGGCCGGCCGGCCGACCAGATTCGCCGGACTGGCGGGAGACGTCAGCAACCGGCGGCCAACACAGGACGTCCGCCTGGCACGGCGGGGGCGACACGGGGAAGCTACGGGGCGGCGGTCAACCACACCAGCTTGGGACGGCGGCACTGCGCGACGCGAGGAAGACGGACGCGAGGAAGACGGACGCAGGAGATAGAGGAAAGAGAAGAAAGGAAAGAAAAAAGAAAGGAAAGAAAAGGAAAGAAAAGAAAAGAAAAGAAAGGAAGAAAAGAAAAGAAAGGAAAAGAAAAAAAGGAAAGAAAAGAAAAGGAAAGAAAAGAAAAGGAATGAATTTATTTGGAGCCTTTTTTGGGAGCCTGATTTAATTTGGGAATTTCCATAAACTCTGGGATTCCCATAATCCACAATTATGGCTCCCTGATATGTGAATATTTTTAAATCAGCAGCTGACTTAAACTACTCCCTCTTAGCCGAATCTACTACTCGACTAAGGGAGTGGGGGACTCGTGATGGGGTTATGGGACTAGGCCCAAAGCCTAATCAGTCCAGGCCCCGAACTTGGACCAGCGGGCCCAAGCCCAGCAACCCAGAGCTCGAGTCAGCCCGACCAACCAGGGCAATCAAGGAGCGGAAGCCCAAGAGAGCCTGTCGACCAGCCCAGCGGGGAGCTTGCGGTCCAGCCTACCCGGGAGCCTGCCTTCCAGCCTAGCCAGGAGCCTGTCGACCACCAGCCCAGCTGGGAGCCTGCGGTCCAGCCCAACTGGGAGCCTGCGGTCCAGCCTACCCGGGAGCGTTCCTTCCAGCGTACCCGGGAGCCTGCGGTCCAGCCCAACTGGGAGCCTGCGGTCCAGCCCAGTGGGGAGCCTGCCTTCCAGCCCAGTGGGGAGCCTGCCTTCCAGCCTAGCCGGGAGCCTACCGACCACCAGCCCGCTGGGAGCCTGTGATCCAGCCCAACTGGGAGCCCGTGGTCCAGCCCAGGTGGGAGCCTGCCTCCAGCCCATCGGGGAGCCTGCCTTCCAGCCTACCCGGGAGCCTGCCTCCAGCCTGGTGAGAAGCCTTCCTCCAGCCTAGCGGGAAGCCCACCGTCCAGTCCAGCAGGAGGGAGCTCAAGCGTCCAGCCTACCAGCCAGGCTGACCTGCCAGCCAGGAAGAGTAACGGCCAACAATCAATGCGCTACTTAATTATGTGTTTAATTCCGTATTAATGTTGTAATTAATTTAGTCATTATTATGTTCGACAGTTACCATTTGTAATCGCCTATAAAAGGCAATTCGAATTTCAAATACAGATATGCTTTTTCTGGCTAACTTTCCATATTCGTACTTTCCTAATTCCTGCTTGAGTGTCGTACGTAGCTTTCCTAAAAGCCTACGAGCGTCCTATTTTGGACCAACAAATACAATTGTAAACATGAGTCAAAATCCATAGGGTTTAGCCCGTTTCATAGTGAGTTAGACTTGTGAGTTGACATACATGTTGCAATTTAGTCAAAATCAATGCCTTAAATATTGATTGTTTACTACCAAAATTATTCGCTATTATATACTTATTTATTTTACAAACCTTCATTGAATTACTATTTCTACAATAATTATTCAAATCAATTACTCCGACATATTTTTATGTTGTTGTTAAAATTAAGTTTTTTAAAAATTAGTAGTCATTGCTTACAAATATATACTCAAAAGATCAACTTGTATACTTATTTTTGTACAATATAATGAGTTCTTTTAATATATACCATCTAATAGTTACGTAGTATCAAATATTGGTATAACAATGATTTCATTTTTTAATTAAACATATCAGGTATTGTGTGCTTAGTATTTTTATTTCTTATATTTTCTTTTATCAATGCTCACCGATATTGTTGGGTTAATAGGCCCGACTGTGGATCGGTCCATTACTCATTAGCAGGAAGACCATCAGGGCCTAGTTTGGGCACAATCCATCAAGATGCCTAGCCAGACGCTCGTCTTCATTAAGTGGACGCTCAGCCCCAGCTCCATTGATCCCGTAAGCCAGGTGGTGGTCCAGGGGCTAGGGAGGGGACAATGAGCATGGACCGAATGGATACAACACCCTTGTGCTGGCACGCACCTAGAGCTCAACAGTGAGTGGACGAACGTCCAGACCTCTTGGCGGGAAACCAAGATATTGGCGGGAAGCGCATTTAATGCAATAGATTTGGTGGTTGAGAAGCTAGCCACTCACAGTCATCCACATCATTAGTTTCACCTACCTTTGTGTAGTATAAATGGTTGCATTTATTTCATTGTAAGGGGTTGACAACTTATTCCCTCTAGCAATAACAATTATCTCCAGCTCTTCTTACTGAGATAGACGAACGACATCTTGGCTTGTAGTTGAAGTGTGTTGTATACGAACCCTTATTATCATTTAATAAGATACGGCTCACTTGCTACTCTTGTTATTCACCCATCTTACTTGCTTGCATCACATATCCATTAAACTCTCAACTCGAAGTCCATAGGACTGTGTTGGGCCTTTCGGTTGAAGGAATAAACCTCAACACTAGCGGTGTCTTTGGGAAACCAATCTAAAAGTTTCCAAAACAAGCTCACCAAAAGAGCTCCTTAATAACTTCCTAAGTAAGCGAGATGACAAGAAACAACTCCGGACACACTCATGACCTTTCCGAGCAGCTGACGAGTAGGAGGAGGACTCGCACCATGGCATCGGGTGGCCAGTCCAGTAGCTTGCTGAGTCGCAGAGGTGATGGGGATGTCACCAACCTAATCCCCCTCGAGGCCAGAAGGGACCATCGCATCATGAGGGAACTGGCGGAAACCATGCGGCGCATGGCAGACGAGCAGGATGTTGAACGAACCGTATACACTGTGGAAACCAAGTGTACCTCCTTTTCCCCCATCCGCTCCATGCAACCGTTCAGGGGACGAACAGGCGAGACCGTGGAGTCTCGCACATCGGTCCGCACACAGATCGACGGGACCCCCGCGCCCCGGACATGGGACGCCAAGGAGGGACCAGCCACCCAGACGAGGGCAACAATTTACGACCCAAAACCGCACCCCGATGATACTGCACAACGATCACTGAGCTAGAGAACCAACTCTCGTGGTAAGCAATGTGGGACCACGGTTCCAGAATGTGGAGGGATATGACACCCGCTTCATCCAAGACATCCCGACGCGGATACTGTCCGCATGGAGAATGCTCTAGCGGTCATCAACCTTGCGGTCCCGGTCCCTGATGCATGGGACGAGATGCTCGCCAACATTCAGAGGCAGATCGACGAGCTGAATCGTCGGACGGAGAGCAATCTGGCGCAACCCCGGATCGCGCTCACTTCCCCATTCTCTGCGAGGATCATGATTGCAGAGATCCCTCGGGACTGCAGGTCACCGGGCACGCTGGTCTATAATGGGTCGGTGACTCGAAGGCCCGCGTGTCACCTTCCATGGTGGTGTCACCATCCTAGGAGCATCTGACGATGCCATTTGCAGGCTGTTCTTCAGCACCCTCCGCGGGCCAGCGCAAGAATGGTTCAGGCAATTGATAAGGCCTGGGACCATAGATAGTTTTGATCATCTGTCTAGGCAATTCATGGCGTAGTTCGCGTTCAGCACAACCCCAAAGACACACTTCAGCTCACTGACGAGCGTCCACCAGGACAACCGAGAATCCCTCTCCGCCTTCCTGGTCCGATAGAGAAATGAGACTCTAAAGGTCGAGGACCTAACGGAATGCACTAACGTTACCCTTTTCACCAACGCCTTAGAAACCAGAGATCTATACAGGGACCTAAAGAGGAACTTGGGGACCAGCTATGTTGAGGTGCTGGCCTGAGCGCAGAAATACGCTGCGATTGAAAAAGAGATCAGAGGGACAGGGCGCCAGCCGCCACAATCCGCAAGATGGCGGATCAGCTGGGCCCATGACCAAAGGAATCCCCCTCATCAAAAAAGAAGAAGACGAGCGGCGGGTACATCCCAAGGACACACCGCGGCCCGACCACTGACACACGGCGGGAGGAGGGTCTCGAATACACCCCATGGTGCTCCTGGTGGCCCATATTTTTGAAAACATCAAGGATTATGGGATCCTCGCCCCCCAGGGACAAGGGGGCTCCGATGGGAAACCGCCCGGATACATACTGCGAGTGCCATCGCAGGAAGGGCCATACCACAGACAGCTACAATAGCCTCAAGAGGGCGATTGACGACCTCATTCGGAATGGCCATACCACAGGCATCTACATACTATATGTAATATTGTTTTTTGGTGTCATATCAAATGTTTGTTCATTTTTTATTATATGTGTTGAGGTTTATTCCTTCAACCCGTAGGTCCAACACGTGTCCTAAGGGTTTCAAATGGAAGAGTAAGATGAAAAGATGAAGAAACAAGCAAGAAAGTCAGTAAAGAGTCTTGATATCCTGAAACGATTACAAAGCCTAGAGGCCGTTCGTACAATGTTATGCTATGAGCTCATACAATTGCTAGAGTGCTAGAATGCTAAAATGTGAACCCTTTACAGTGAAATAAACGCTTCTATTTATACTGCCAAGGGGTAGTTGGATGCGTTGACGTGGCGGGCTGTGGATGGCTCGATCCCAACCACCAAATCTTCTGCATTAAATGCGCTTCCTGCCAGGATATTTGTTTCCCGCCAAGGGGTGGGGACGTTCGTCCCCATGCGCTTGCCTCTTGTTTCCTGCTGGAATCCCAACTTCTCGCCAAGGGGTGGGGACGTTCATCCCCCTGCGCTTGCCTCATGTTTCCTGCTAGACCCAAAGCCCCACAAGACGAGCATCTTGTGCTGCTCTCGGGCCAAGGTACCTGCCGATGATAGGATACGTACGTCCCCTGCCCCTTGGTGCTGAAGCTTGGCCCTGTTGGGGATGAACCTCTCCAGAATCAGCGGACATGTAACTCATTGTCTTGTGCCTTCTGAGGACGTTCGTATGGGTTGACCCCTGATAGAGTATATATCTAGAGAGAGGTGAGAGCTAGAGAGAGAAGTGCAAGTAATGCTTCAATAGAATGATTTTGTCACCCCTATAACTACCTCCAGAGGAAGTATTTATAGGAAAAATACGGGCTGGGCTCCCAAGCCTTGGGCTTGGGAGGCCCATTTACAACTGGACCACTATTGGGCCGAATACAGAGCCATTGGTGGGCTATACAAATGAATAAGTGTAAAATCCGGTTCTGTGAGACTACCGTGGCCGACGAGGGTCTTGGCCGACGAGGGCACGGCCGACGAGGACACCCTGGTTCCCTGGCTTTAGGATCATGTTTTGAGTTGGTCCTTCTTCGGCTGACGAGGGTCTTTGGCCGACGAGGGCACCGCGTTGTGGATGTGCTTTCTGTTCTTCTGAGTATGTGGGTCCTGGGGCCTAGACCCATATACTCCATCAACCCCCATTGGGCCATTAATCCAACATAGATCGTCCAGTGGGCTTTAATGGGTTGATGGGCCGACCCTCGTTGGGCCATTATCCCAACAATATGCTTAGCTCAAGTGTACTATCTATTTGAAGAAAGGAATCAAGTTCATAAGTAGATATTAACTGGTCTTTAAGTATAGACAATAAACTCACAGAACTATCATAAGTGTAAAAATTTGTACAAAAGTAGAGCAAATAAGGGATTAATTGATTCAACTGCCCCAATAATGTTAAGATATAGCACGAGTCAATAAAAAATAGACAATGTGAAGACTATAAATTACTACTCCCTCGTTCATGTTAAGATTGTCCCACTTCTTATTCACTTGGTCAACACAAATCACTCTTAATCTTTTACTTTAAATATCAAATTTTTATCAAATTTGATTCTGATTTTTGCGACTTTATAAAGTTTTTAATGAAATATCTGAATATGTAATATTTTTTCTAAGAATAATTTGAATGCGGAGAGGATGTGTTTGTTGTAACTTGCATTATAAACCGAAGTGTCTCATTCTTAGTGGAAGGAGGTAGTATGTAATACTTGGAAAGCAATGGACCAAGGTTCGAATCCCCGTAGCGACCGAGTGGAGATCACAGAACCTGAAATAAGACTGGGCCTCTGATGCGCATGGATGTATGGACCTACTACCATTCTGCTGACTGAATCACCGTGACTAACCTCCCCACCATCCTGTCGAGTCGGGGTGAGGAGCTCCTGGGGTGGGAGATTCCACCTTTTGTAACAATGGAAAGCAAATTTGAACATGACCGTACTCATCCGGATCAAATCAAATTAGAAGAGCTAATTATGGTCAGCCGAACTTGGTAACCAGGCGAAATTTCAAAGTCGTGGCCCGGCCACAATGTGGTCATATGCGTCAGCCCGCGAAATTTCTGAGGGAAGAAACAAGCAGTAACCCAATCCGCATCCAAATTGAACTTCCCAATCACTACATCTACGCGCACGCGGATTTGATTATTCAAATTTCCTTCATCAAATGTAATTAAATTTTCAAAATTGTCAGGCCTGACTACAAATAATAATTTCTCAATCTCTAACACGGAGTATATCTGACTCTGCAAGTGTACATTATATATGTATATATGGTCGAGGAGGAATTTGAAAACCTCCATTGTCAGGAGTCATAATTCACTTTTTCCAGTGCGTATGGGTAGAGTCACAGTTGGATATCCAGCCGATTAACCGAATTTCGACTCTGAAATTTTGGGTGTATAGGGAAGCATTTCTGGATAAGAAAAGCATCCTTTTTATTTTCGGACAGGTAAAGCATCTAGCTTTTAATTCCTAATATATAACAGGAGTTTGAGTATGGAGTGCGTGTACTGTGTGCAGTAGGGGAAAGGATAAATATGCCCAGTTAATGTAGAGTTTCTGAACAAATTTTCGGTGAATTATATGTGATGAGAAGGTTGGGCAGAAGACAGCGGACCTTGGCGAACAATATGAAGTTGCCCTTCTGCGATTGTTGCCTTAAAAGGTGCCAAGCTTATCCAACCGCCAGTGCTCTTCGGTTCCAGTAGTTCTTCCCTTGATGAATTCCCTGGTTTCTCTTTTATTGTTGGTGGTATTTTTTGACTTTTGATTTTCACTTGGACAAACTGCATAAGTGTGCAAGTTTTAGGTATGGTAGAGCTCCATGTGGAAGAATCAGAGAGATAATGATTGGTTAATAAGATTTTTAATTGAATCAGAGTAATTGATAGGAAGAATGATAAATAGAATAAATGACTAATAAGATTTCTTGTAGAATTAGACAGAGAATGATGTGTTAATAGGATAAACTCTAAGTTATTCATCAGTTCTTTTGGGTGGATGGAACGTAATATTCAGAGTTCATTACAGTTTTTTTATTAATCCCCGCAGCAAGGGTGCAGCTGTGAGTAGCATGGAATCTGAGAAGGTTTTGATGGAGTACTACATTCCTGATTACATGCTTTTATCTGAAATAGAAGCAACAACGTCCTACGAAGTACCTGCTTGCCCCATCATAGTGTTTATCAATTCTAGAAGTGGTGGCCAACTTGGGGGTGAACTTCTATTGACGTATCGTAGACTTCTCAACGAAAATCAGGTACATGTACTTTGTAGCGTGTTTTTTCACTCTGTTATCTCTTCAATGTGTAAAAACTTAATGCATTTATTTACCGAGTATAATAAACTTTGGGAATGTTTATAGATCCTAAAAAGGTCAAGGGGCCAAATTTTTCTTCAGGTTTATGATTTGGGAGAAAGATCTCCTGACAAAGTGCTACACCAGATTTACTCTAACTTGGAAAAGCATAAAAGGAATGGGGATGACATGTCGTTTGAAATCGAGAACAGACTGAGAATCATTGTGGGTCATTTCAGTAGTTTGGTGCTCCTTTGGACTGTTTTTTTCTATGTATCATATGTTAACTTAGTGAAATAGGTTGCAGGTGGTGATGGAACAGCTGGCTGGCTTCTTGGGGTGATTTCAGATCTTAAATTAGCATGTCCACCACCAATTGCAACAGTACCTTTAGGAACAGGAAACAATCTCCCATTTGCATTTGGCTGGGTAAGATTGTCTGTGTGGCATTCGTGTTCCGTACATTCTCATGTTTGAGGTTTCTATGTCGCCTGTCATCTACAAAATCGTACACCTGCATAAAGAGCATCTTTTAATTCACAGGGGAAAAAGAATCCCGGTACAGATTGCAGTTCTGTGAAACATTTTCTGGATCAAGTAAGAAATGCAAAAGTGATGAAAGTTGACAGGTAAGAAGTTTTGACAATTCTTATTACAGTGGATAACAATTAAGATGCTTTGACTGAGTAGAAAATTCTGTCTCACTACACCTATCAATTTTTTTTCTCACATTTCCTGTGTTGTAATTGCATGTTTTTCCACTTGTTTCAGCTGGCATATTCTTATGCGAATGAGGGCTCCTATTGAAGGCTCTTGTGATCCCATTGCACCCCTTGAGCTACCACATTCACTGCATGCATTTAAGCGTGTCTCTCAAGCAGATACATTAAATGAGGTACTGGCTTTTTTGTCTTTTAGGGCTTTCTTCAGTGCTCTAGAACACCAAGCACTCAGTGCTCACCATCCCAAATCTCCCATAAGTGGAACACTACCATGTGTTCATTCCGTGGAACACTTAAATAGCTTAGGGTTTACCAGGACCCACAAAATGTACAGATGTCAGTGCTTGATAGAACCTCCAGAAATTCAGAAGATTTATGGAAAGATTAACAAGAAAAACTGATGAAAACTTTATTGATGAAGGTGATCGATTACAGGAGAAGACAAAGATTTCTGGCCGAAGCCCCCAATGAGCCGAAGCCCCCCAAAAGAAAGAGATAAAACTCGATCTTCCCAAGTCCCAGTCTGAAAACGTCTAAACAGCCTACTAAACCCTTCCCTGCTATCTTCTATTTATACTAAACTTATACACTTTATTCTAATCAATACTCTAATAGGCCCAGTCCTTTATTCTTAGTATCTAATAGGCCCGGTCCCTAACAGTGCTCAAATGGTCGGCGATCAGAGTGAGTGATCATTGTTCATTGGAATCATTGCTGTGGAAGCAGATCGGATTTTTTCTTATGGGACTAATTGGATCTATACCTATATCCAATTGATGACTTGAATACAAAATAACTTGTGCCTTTAATATTGACTTTACAGTTCTTATATTCTATTCATTTAGAGGCTCATATATAACACTTGTAATTGATCATAGCGCAATGTGCTGAAAGGCATTTTTGCCCCGTGATATCATGTTAAGATCTTGGACATTTAGCCTTACAGATAAATGAAAGTGATGCTTATGCTGAGTTTGAGTTCAGAAAGGGACACTAGTCTGGTAGTTAATTGGAGCATCATTTTTACCACACTGCTCTTAGATTTCCATAATTTTTATCTACTGCTGAAGTGCTGAAGTCTTGAACGTTCTACTTGTTTTTTAATTAGGAGGGTTACCACACATTTAGAGGAGGATTCTGGAACTATTTTAGCATGGGTAAGTTTTTATTCTTACTTTCTTAAGCTATTAAGAACATTTTCTTGATCATTTTAATCTTATCTCCTCGTTAGGATTTTATATGCAACTTAGTTATATTCCAACACATGTATTGTCTTTGCTTATCAATAGCGCAACATGAAAACTGTTCATTTGTATACATTATACAAAGTCATTTGTTCAGTTCTGGCCTTTTTAATTCATTAGTAGCATTGGATGATAGTAGTCATAGTACTATAGTAGTAGTGTGTTTTGGTACTATTTTAGTTATCGGCCCTTTTCTCATTTTCCTAAAGGTTCGGTTATAGTTAAGCTTTGGGCAATACGCTCAAATCTCTTATGTACACCTGTAGTCATGTCATAATGTGCTCCAATTTTGTGTGCTGTACGTTTTTAGAATATCAATGCTGCATGATATATGAAAGTGAGCTCTTTAAATGTCTTATACCATATGTAATACATGATTATTCATCGCCACAGTTAAAACCATCTTTGATTGTTAATTGTAATGATGATGTGTTTTTCTGTAAGATCGCATCCAACTTTATACTGCATAAAAATATTCAATATGTTGTACACCTACCATCAACCTTAAACTGTCAAACAAATCTCCTGGGTCTTTATAAGTTTCATGTGCATCGAGAGAAACTTATGTTCCTTTTGCCATCTTGTTTCATAAACTCCGTGTTAGGAATATTTGATGGTGTCCAATCTAATTAAATATCTTTGTATTTGTGTAGTTATTAGTTAAACGTGTAATATGAGCCACAAATGTATATCAGCCCATTAGCTTCTTTGTAGTCCCTAAGTTAGTCAATTTCTCCTATAAAAGGAGGCTAACTTATGGAAACCCTAAGCATCGAAAGGCTTGAGAGAATAGAGGCGCAGAGATAGAGAGTAGGGTTTGTCGTTGCTCTCTCTCTCTCTCGAGTGAGGGCAGCGGCCAGTTCACGGTATACCAACGTTGTTGTTCATCTCGATATCTTTCTATTTGCTTCTTCTTCACTTCTATGATTGTTAGATTGTTAAGAACAGGGACTATCAATTGGTATCAGAGTCGAGGTGTGAAAAATGTTGAATCTATCTGCGATTTTTAGGTTCTAACGAAGAACTTCTCTGTTTTTCTTCTGTTTTTCTTTAGTATAGAGATTTTCTCGTGTAATCTTGTTTGTGAAAGAAAATCTGAAAAAAATATACCGTTGCAATCGCCTTTTCAAAACAATTCTACAGCATATCTTCGTTTTTGTTTTCTGCAATATTTCGTTTTTGAAGATCTCGACCTAGGGATCTTGATATTCATGTTTCTACAGGCTGCAGAAATGATTTCGACCTGAAAATAATACAGGAAGAATCTCTACCTTCAGGGTTATTCAGAACAGTTTTCAGTTTTTCAAAATTCGAAATTTTAATTTTGCAGGATCTCGACATTTTGGGATTTCGAAATTTCGAAATTTGGGATTTCGATGTTTGAAATTTCGACATTCTGATAGATTTCGAGATTTTAGGAATTTCTTGATGTTTTGAATTTTTCAAAGTATAGAGCTTCTTGAAACTCAGAATTTTTCGAAACTTGGCATTCTTCACATTTCATCGAAACTTTACATTATAGGACATTTGGATAAATCTCTACTTACTAAAGTTTTTAGAAGTTTTCGATGTTCTGATGTTTTCATACAACAAGTTCTCGATATTCTGCGGTTTTCGAAATTCCAAAGTTTTCGATGTTCCCAACATTTTGAAATTCTGAAGATTTCGAAGTCTCGAGGTTTTGTTTTGTAGGTGGATTTCATCATTATTCTTCGAGATTAAGATCTTGAAGTTTAAACCTCGAGATTGTAATCTCAAAGTTTAAACCTCGAGACTGTAAACTCGAAGTTTAAACATCGAGATTGTAATCTCGAAGTTTAAACATCGAGATTGTAATCTCGAAGTTTAAACCTCGAGATTGCAATCTCGAGATTTAAACATCGAGATTGTAATCTCGAAGTTTAAACCTCGAGATTGTAAACTCGAAGCTTAAACCTCGAGATTGTAATCTCGAGATTTAAACCTTGAGATTCTAATCTTGAAGTTTAAACTTCGAGATTGGGATGTCTAGGTTTTGCCTTAGAATTTTGTTTAATTCCACCTGCTCTTAATATTCAACATCGAGAACCTCAACTTCGAAGAAATTCCTCAAAAACTCAAAATTCAAGATTTTCAGCGACATCGCACTGTTTTGGACATAACTTTTGACACGGTTATCCGATTTAAGCGAATCATATGTCGTTGGAAAGCTAACGAAAAGATCTACATTTATTCTTGGGGTTTACCCCATAACCCATTTTCATGCGCCCTCACTTGCAGTTCTTGAGGGCCAAATCGTTTGTTTTCTGAAAAACATTGTCAATCACCGATGTCAAGGTCAAATTTTATGCAAATCTGTTCAAATTCTTCCAAATGTCAAACCTAAGGTCAAAGCTTTTCTAAACTACACTGTTGAGGTCTGAAAATCGTAGATAATTCAATCAACCTCGCGTCGACGGTCATTCTACAACATTCAACAATCAACTACTGAAGCCTCACCTAACTCATCAACATTGTGTGATCATGAATATGCTGAAATTCTATATGATGAGCTTAGGGAAACCGTCATTTGTGGTACCTGTTCAGATTACTCCACACACATGGCGAGTATCTCAACCTGTGAGCAATCAATCCCCGCACATTCTGAGGGGGAGTTTATGTTTTCTCCTCCTGACGCCTTACACCGACAAAGCAAGGAATCTCTCAAAGGATGCAACATTTTAGGGGGAGTTTTCAATGTTCTCCTCCCTGGTGCAAAACAATGACAAAGCATACCGAGTGCTCCAGTTGAGGGGGAGTACAGAGAGAAAATCAAGGAACAAAAAGTAATGAGAGACCATGTCCCTATGGCTTAGTAAATCCAACTAAGTCTACCCAAGGGACAAAGTCTATAGTAAGTGAGTGAGCGACTGAGTGAACATTATGAGCGTTAGGAAGTAGAAGGCTCAAGTGAGCAAGAAAACAATAATCAATGATAAGTCTGCTACCTCAATTGCCTGCTATCAATTGAACAGTTACTCCTAGTCACTCAAATACTCTGAACTATCCCCATAAGTTTGGGACTGATTTAATCAGATCCCGGGTAGAAGTCACTGCATCTTGTCAAACAGTGCATGCTTAACCCTACCCAAGACCACTCATTTATCTCCCAACAGACAAGTGTTTAATCACATTTCACGGGGAACCTCGTCTCTCATTACTGTCTCCTTCCGAGGCAAGTGATACTGACTACAGTGGCCTCAGCCCCATGCCACTGAACTTTCATTGATCACGTCATGTCTAGTTACCTCACTCCCAAATGTTTTGAAATTTCTAGGACACAGACACACTTTTTGAGTCAGTTGAAGGTCTACATGACCCGCTAGAACTTCCATAGAGCTCATCTATTACAGATGTAGATCAATGATTGGAAGGAAGTCCTGCTGTTGCAACATAAGAATCACCAACATTTTCAGGCCATTGCTTTAGAACTTATCTCTATAGTGATGATAACGAGTGTCTACATGATCTCGGGGGGCTACACGTTTCTCATGCTGATCTTTATGGTCATGCAAATAACAACCAAAGTGACATCTATTCGGATGTTTCACAATAACTGATTGGAAGTCCCGTTAGAGCTTTATTGTTTCTATCATTTCATACAGGCCACATATCGGTGTTTACATTGATGTTGTGATAACGGAACATTGTATTCGGTTTTGTTTTTTTACTTTCTGTTTTGTTTTTCTGTTTTGTCATTCAGAATAAAAGAATAAAAGCATGTCGCCCCGATTCATCGGATCGTCATGAGGGGGAGAGTGGTCCACATGCTGTTAAATGTCACCAAATCATTCTCGGATACTTCTCATTTTCATTTCATTTTCATTTACCCCAGTGCCGCAAAGGCTCCCACCTACGGTGGGGTAAGGGGGGGTCGGATGTACGCAGTCTTACCCCTGTACTAATGCACATAGAGACTGTTTCCGGATGACCCATAGTGAAAATCGCGTCCAAAATTGCATGGACTGACTGCTGCTCCATAACAAAGAAGCGCAGACAGTTTAGTGAGCCATTTTGCTTTATTCCATAATAATCTCAAGCCACTTCTCTCCTATAAAAAATTTCAACGACTCTCTTCTATCTCTACACCTCAAATGGTCAGCTACGCTCACAAGTCAACCATCTTTTTCCGGTGTGCAACCGACAAGGTCTCCTCAAACACATTCACTTTGAATAGTCAAAAAGACTACATTGTGGAGGAGACAAAAGTCACATACTTGAATTCTGAAGATGATTTCCATGTGCGTCTGCAATTCTTCAAGAACATTCATTCAAGCTGATCAAGAGCTACTTCTGAAGGCAAGGTTTACAAGCAAGGCAAAGAAAGATTCCTCAACCCCCGACATCAAAGATCAAATTCGTCAAGAAGACATCAAAGGGGAGATTGCAAGGATTTCTTCAGAAAGCCTTCTCAAGAAGTCAAGTTTAAAGACAAAGGAAGCTGAATAACAACAAAGACAAAGATATATGCGCTGCAATGCTGATTCAACATGATTGAACACCAAGGAGGAGATTGTTAGGAATATTTTATGGTGTCCAATCTTATTAAATATCTTTGTATTTGTGTAGTTATTAGTTACACGTGTAATATGGGCCATAAATGTATATCAACCCATTAGCTTCTTTGTAGTCCATAAGTTAGCCAATTTCTCCTATAAAAGGAGGCTAACTTATGGAAACCCTAAGCATCGAAAGACTTGAGAGAATAGAGGCGCAGAGATAGAGAGTAGAGTTTGCCGCTGCTCTCTCTCGAGGGAGGGAAGCGGCCAGTTCATGGTATACCAACGTTGTTGTTCATCTCGATATCTTTCTATCTGCTTCTTCACTTCTATGATTGTTAGATTGTTAAGAACAAGGACTATCACTCCATATGTTCATTCTGCAGGGATGGATGCACAAGTTTCTTATGCATTTCACAGTGAAAGGAAGCTACATCCTGAAAATTTTAAAAACCAATTAGTTAATCAGGTGCTCCAATGCCCTCTGGTCTTCAACAAAATTCTTAATCTTTTGTAATGGTAATTAAAGTTTATATTGTGGGGACATTGAACTCTGAATTTTCTTTTGTTCTGATCCTACTCTTTCTATTTGTATTAGACTAGCTACGCAAAGCTTGGCTGTACTCAAGGATGGTTTTGGGCTTCTCTTACGCATCCATCTTCGAAGTTAGTCTCTTCATGGCCTTAAAGGGCATAAACTCAAGTTCGTGTACAATGTCACATATGCATGCCCTTAACATTCATTGATCACTATAGATAGTATTTTTTTGTAAAACTTGGCAGTGGAAATATGGATTTGTGTCTCTTTACAGCACATTAGTCGCAGAAATTACGACTTGAATATAATTGCTCTTTCTCCCTTGAAAGAATTGCTTAAAATAGGAGTAAACCATGGACGAGCTTTAAAAATAGAATGAAGCGTGTTTTATTACCAGAATAGATTTTATTTAGTCCTATTAAAAGAGTGAAGTAATAAAAACTTCCTCAAATAGAAGTGAATAAGTCATATTTTGGGAAGAAAATAGTGATACTTTATTTAAGGAAATCTGCAATGTTTTACTCCTATTTGAAGAATTTCCGCTTTCTTAATCATAAACTTCACCGAAATTTTTGTTAACTTCTAATTGGCAGGAACATTGCACAGCTGAGTAAGGTTAGAATAAAGAAAAAAAACGGTGATTGGGTTGATCTCGAGATACCTAGAAGGTAATTAAAGCACGTTTTTATTTATGACGGTTAATGAAGATAAGCTTAATATATACTAGGAGTTATGAAATACATATCATGCATCTCTGATCTATACATTTTTGGGGAATAAAACTCAAGTGCCATTTGGTTTTGTAAGTAATGATTGGTAAAAAAACAAAATGCAGTATCAGGTCGATTGTCTGCCTCAACCTGCCCAGCTTTTCTGGTGGTTTCAATCCTTGGGGAACTCCTAATAAGAAAAAGCTCCACGAGGTTAATTTTTCATGATATTATTATGAATATTATAATTATTAACTTGTTGAAATGTGAAATGCCTTTATATATCTACTACGTACTACGAGTAGTATATCATTCAGTGTGTACTACAGTTTTTAATTGACATGAATGTGGAGGAATGATGTGTTGTGTTATAAATGAATTGAGCAGAGGGACTTGACTCCTCCCTATGTTGATGATGGGCTGATTGAGGTGGTTGGGTTTCGGGATGCTTGGCATGGCCTCGTTTTGCTTGCACCAAGGGGGCATGGGAGACGACTTGCACAAGTTGGTGTTTAACTTTTATTACATTAATTAATACTAAGCTGATTTTTTTGTTCGGTCTCTAGCTAGCATCTGTGCTAGTGATCGAATCGAGGCTAGCTGTATGTGGATATAAACACTACTTACGTCACCCTCGCCCGTCTGTCTGTATTTCAGGCACATGGAATTCGGTTTGAGTTCCAAAAAGGTGCTGCAGACCACACATTTATGAGGATTGATGGGGAGCCATGGAAACAACCCCTTCCTTTAGATGATGAAACTGTTGTGGTGGAGATTTCTCATTTGGGACAGGTAAACATGCTGGCTGCTCCCAGCTGCCGGTCTAGGAGTGTTCTTGCACCCCCACCCCACACTCTTGACGACTCTGGCGATGATGATAATGATTATGAAGAGGAGGATGAGTCTGATGAGAGGAGAAAGTTTGGTGCAGCCACTACTTTTCGCATGCAGGATGATGATCTAGATGATGATGATGATGATATGGGAAAACACAATATGCATATAACATGAACTGTGCATTTTGCAGCCAATTTCTCGCCCTCTCAATTATTCCAATTCCTTTAATTTTTTCGTCCAACATTTCATGGCCTAGCTTGCTGATGGATTAAACCGGAGTTACCATTCACTATGATTGGTAATTCGGCTGCTAATAATCAATTAATATTGGTGCTGTGTATTTAATAGGTTTGTAGTCGTAACTAAAATAGTTAGCCAGCTTTGTACAGCAGCTTAACTTCACACATGTAAGAATTGATATCCAATGGTTGGAATGTGTTTCACTTTTTGTACGTAGTATAATTTTTTGTAGTTGAAGATCATAGTTTGAAATTGTAATCATTCATAAGTCAAAACACTTCCTGATATTTGATGAATAAAATGTGATGTGCATATCCAGTTCATTATTTAATTGCTCCACCTAGTTTTTTACTTGATAACGTTAGCAAAGGCTCATTATTGTGTTCATAACAATACTTCGTAAGAGAAGAACCGTGTCTTAATAGTAATAATAATAATGATGATGATGATGATGGTGATGATGATGATAACAATGCAGCAGTAGTCTAAGCAGTTGTATCTAACATAAAAATAAATGGGGGAATAGCACTTCCTCCTGCACTCATTGAAATGTTATTAGCTATTAAAGTTATAACGTCAACATAATAAAAAAAATTATACTCCTTGAAAAAATGCACCAATAATTTTTGTCTCCAAATTTAGGCCACAAATATGAAATGTCGATCAAGACAGTCTACTTGATAATTTCTTAGGAAATAAATATCTGGCATGGACAAAAATGTTTTTGATAAGACAATTTTTTTTATAATTTATATAAACATTTCCTCAAATTTGATAGTAAACATTTCCTCAAATTTGCTTACAATTTCATTGTAAAAGAATTTGTATAATTTTTGTAAGCATTTCCTCAATTTGATTGTAAACATTTTTGTAAAATTTGTAAAAATGGTTTTGGGTCTTATCAAAATCTTTGATTGAGACGAGGAGAATATCCTCAAATTAGTCACTAAAAACTTAATAATACGTTAGTTTTTATGAATGCCTAGCATTTAGTTATATTGAAAAACGTTTAATTCCAATGACCATAATTATCTAACAATACATTTTATACATTTAGAATAATATTGTAATTTCTAATGCACACTGCTAGAAATTAAACTTGGCTTAGCCCAATAATTGGGTCCATTACATGTTAACTTATTGGGCTAGAAGTTGTATGATAATTAATAAATTAGCTAGCCCATAAGATAGACTTAGAAAGATCTAGAGTAGTTAATGTACCTAAACAATTCTAGATTATTCCTAAGCTAGAATCCTATAGAATATTCTAGAAGGTTAAGGAAGTAGGAGTGCCTAGAAGGATCCTATGAGACCTATAAATAGAGCACTCCTCACTCATTTGTAAAGCAAGCCAAAAGCTCCAAATCAATACAAGTTACAAGTTCTTCTAAAATCACCTCTCTCTAAAATTCTCTCTTCCACACACAATCACCCAAATATAATACTCATCAACTACTTTCTTCCAACAAAGTGGTATCAGAGACATCAATCCTTTCAATAAAAATGAATTCCAACGGCTTAGTTCCATTCCAATTTCCTCGTCTCACTAAAGATAACTACTCTAGTTGGTGCATTCGCATGAAAGCCTTGCTTGGATCTCAAGATGCATGGGAGATTGTTGAGAAAGGTTATGAGGAACCTCAAGATGATGCTACTTTAAATCAATCCCAAAGGGATAGTCTCCAAAAGAGTAGGAGGAAAGATCAACAAGCTCTCACTCTCATATATCAATGCTTAGACGAGGCCATGTTCGAGAAGGTTTCAAATGCCACCACTTCTAAAGAAGCATGGGAGATACTACATAACTCTTTCAAGGGAGTTGACAAGGTGAAGAGAATTCGTCTTCAAACTCTTAGAGGTGAGTTCGAACAACTTAAAATGAAATATTCGGAATCAATATCCGACTATTTCTCTAGAGTGTTAGTAATTGTAAATGAGATGAAGAGGAATGGTGAGGAACTAAAGGACATAACGGTGATTGAGAAAATCCTTCGCTCTCTCACCAAAGACTATGATTATATTGTGGTGGCCATAGAAGAGTCCAAGGATTTAGAGTCCATGACCATTGATCAACTTATGGGCTCACTACAAGTCCATGAAGAAAGAGTTGTGAGAAATAAATCTGATGAATCATTGGAGCATTCTCTTTACTCCAAACTCTCTTTTAAAGAAAGAGGGGAGAATAGAGGTGAAGAAAGAGGCCAACGAGGTCGTGGTTATGATCGAGGACGTGGTGCACGTGGAAGAGGTGGTCGAGGTCATGGTTATACAAACTTCAACAATGAAGAAAGAATTCAATATACGCAAGCATCTAGAGGCCGTGGGAGAGGAAGCAAACCACAAAGGTACGAGAAGTCTCAACTAAAGTGTCATAATTGCAATAAATATGGCCACTATGCATATGAATGCAAGCGCTCTAATCATGTGAAAGAAGAGGCCCATCTCACGGAGATGAACAATGAGGTAGAACTTACCTTGTTGATGGCAAATCATGAAGAACAAACAAAGAAGAGCACGTGGTATTTAGATACCGGAGCTAGCAACCACATGACGGGAGATAAAACCATGTTCGTGAAGGTAGAACAAACTCAAGGTCATGTTACTTTTGGAGATGAGTCTAAAGTCGTGGTGAATGGTAAAGGTAACGTTCTAATCCGTCTAAACGATGGAAGTCACCAATTCATTTCCGATGTTTACTATGTGCCCAACTTAAAAACAAATATTTTAAGTATGGGACAACTCTTAGAAAAGGACTATGATATTCACTTAAAAGAATCGTAGTCTTTCTCTACGAGACAATAATGGAAGACTAGTTGCTAAAGTGCCGATGACTAGAAACCGAATGTTCTTGCTTGACATTCAAAGAGATCAAGCCATATGCTTAAAAAGTTGCTTGAAAGACGAGTCATGGATTTGGCACTTAAGATATGGGCACTTAAACTTTGGTGGCTTGAAAATGCTATCATCCAAAGGCATGGTGAAAGGCTTGCCCTTCATCAATCATCCTGATCAGCTATGCGAAGGTTGCCTATTTGGGAAGCAATCAAGGAAACCATTCCCTAAAGAAGTTACCTCAAGAGCTAAGGAACCATTGGAGTTAGTCCATACCGACTTATGTGGTCCTATTACTCCATGTTCACATGGTAAAAGTAAGTACTATCTCACTTTCATCGATGATTACTCAAGAAAAACATGGGTATATTTCCTTAAACAAAAATCTGAGGCCTTTGAAGCATTCAAGAAATTTAAGGCTCTTATTGAGAAAGAAAGTGGGTACAGTATCAAAGCCATGAGATCAGATCGGGGTGGAGAGTTCACATCAAAGGAGTTTAATCAATTTTGTGAAGATAATGGCATCCGCCGTCCCATGACTGTCCCACGAACACCACAACAAAATGGTGTTGCCGAAAGAAAGAATAGGACGATCCTCAACATGGCTCGAAGCATGCTAAAAACAAAGAATATGCCTAAAGATTTTTGGGCTGAAGCTGTGGATTGTGCTGTCTATCTTCAAAATCGCTGCCCCACGAAGAGTCTCGATGGAAAAACTCCACAAGAAGCATGGCATGGAGGTAAACCTGGAGTCTCACACTTGAGAGTATTTGGATGCATTGCATATGCGCATGTACCCGATCAGACTAGGTCAAAACTCGACGACAAGAGTGAGAAGTTTATATTCATTGGATATGATAAACACTCAAAAGGGTACAAACTCTACAATCCGGATTTGAAAAAGCTTATAATAAGTCGTGATGTGGAGTTTGATGAAGAAGGCTCATGGGATTGGAGCATTGGTGACAAAGAAGATTATAGTCTCTTGCCTCCCATGGAATATGAAGAAGAAGTTGAAGAAAATCATGAAAATACAACTCCTCCACCATCTCCCACTCAAGCTCAAGCTTCATCACCAAGTTCGGATGAAAGAGAAATACCACACATGAGAAGCATTGAAGAGCTTTACGAGGTAACACAAAATTTGAACTCAAATGATGAACTTACACTCTTTTGTCTATTTGGTGATTGTGAGCCACTAAGTTTTCAAGAAGCCACAAGAAACAAGAAATGGAGAGATGCAATGGATGACGAGATCAAGTCAATCGTGAAGAATAAAACATGGGAGCTTGCCACACTTCCACCAAAACATAAAGCAATTGGAGTGAAATGGGTATTTAAGATCAAGAAAAATGCAAAAGGAGAAGTTGAGAAGTACAAGGCAAGACTAGTGGCCAAAGGCTACGCCCAGAGACATGGCATTGATTATGAAGAAGTATTTGCGCCCGTGGCTAGATTAGAAACAATAAGATTGATAATTGCATTCGCGGCTCACAACAAGCGGAAGATACATCAAATGGATGTCAAGTCTGCATTCTTAAATGGGTTCCTAGAAGAAGAAGTCTACATTGAGCAACCCGAAGGTTACAAAGTCAAAGGGCAAGAAGGTAAAGTGTTGAGCCTAAGTAAGGCTCTTTATGGGCTTAAACAAGCACCAAGAGCTTGGAATAGTAGAATTGATCAATACTTCCAAGCTAATGGATTCGTGAAATGTCCGCAAGAACATGCTCTATATATCAAGAAAAATCATCAAGGAGACATACTGCTCGTGTGCATATATGTGGACGACCTCATCTTTACAGGTAATAACATGACGATGTTTGATGAATTTAAACAAGTCATGAAAAAGGAGTTCGAGATGACTGACATTGGGCTTATGAGTTACTATCTTGGCATCGAGGTGAAACAAATGGATGATGGTATATTCATCACTCAAGAAGGATACACGAGAGAAGTACTCAAGAAGTTCAACATGGAAGACTCTAAACCTGTAAGTACACCTGTTGAAAGTGGACTAAAGCTATCAAGGTATGATAAAGGAAAATTGATTGATCCAACTTACTTTAAGAGTCTTGTGGGGAGCTTAAGATACTTAACATGTACAAGACCAGATATTCTCTTCGGTGTTGGACTTGTTAGTCGATTCATGGAGGCCCCCACAACAACTCATTTGAAGGCTGCAAAAAGGATTTTGCGGTATCTTAAAGGCACCACCGAATATGGGTTGTTTTACTCTTCATCTGATGAGTTTAAGCTGGTTGGATATTGTGATAGTGATTGGGGTGGAGATATTGATGACCGCAAGAGCACAACTGGGTTCATATTCTACATGGGAAACACCGCTTTCACATGGGTTTAAAAGAAGCAACCGATCGTCACTCTATCCACTTGTGAAGCCGAGTACGTTGCAGCAACATCAAGTGTGTGTCATGCAATTTGGCTCCGCTACATATTGCAAGCTCTCAGCATGTCTCAAGAAGAAGCAACAACAATATTTGTGGACAAC